CCCCCCCCACCCCCGCACTGAGCCCCAGAGGCTAGCTCAGGCTCATCTAGGAATCAAGAGACTGGGGGCTAGAAGCGCAACTTTGGAGGCCACATGTCTAAATTCCTACTCATGCAGAAATGTCCTTTCTTTTTAGTGTCCCTGATTGGACCCATGCCCTTACAGTGACAGGGTGTTCCATTCCGGGCTGTTGGTGCCATTGCTGGACAAGTCCCATAGTTATTAATAGATAGCTCTTCCATATATTGACTTAACATTTGTTTTCCTGGGTGGCTGGTCATAACTTGGCTCCTTCTACCATCCAATAGCTCTTCGAAACTTGTGATTCCCCAAGCCTGGGTTTTTAGGTATCTTACATCACACGAATCCCGTTCCCTTAAATTAATAAGAACTAAAGTCTGTGAAGGGCTATGTTAAGAACCATGGTAAGCGCTTTACAAGCACTATCTAATTTTCCAAAGAACCGTTTGAGGTAGGTATAGCCCCACTTTACAGATAAAGGGTTAGACAGTTGCGCAAGATCACAAAACCACAGAATGGGGCACTCGAATCCAACCGGAGCCTGCAAGACAGCCAGACTCTACTTGGTCCACGCCAGCCCAGTTCTCCCCATCCCAGCAAATCCATAATGGGGAGGGGCATATCTTAAGGGAAGGGGATATGCTCTAAAACAGGAGCAGCCTTGGATTTCTCTCCCTGAAAAGGGAGACCCCAGAGTTGGGAAGATCTTCTGTGGGTCTATTCAGGGTGGGCAGAAGAAGATGGGCAGGGCCAGGAGGTCTGAGGCCTACTGCCTCTCTCTGTTTAGCCTGCCTGGTCCCTAAAATTTTCTGGCCTCGTGTCGTTTGATGCAGTTTATCTTCAGATAGATGAATATGCTTCCAGGTCCAGGGCCAGTTTGAGGCATGGGATGTAACTACCTTGTTATCAAATCTCTGGTTTGCCTGCAACTCTCTGGGGCTGCTGCTCTTGGGGGAAAGTGCCTTCCAGCCGGTAAGCTCCTTCTCCTGCCCCTCCCTCCCAGCTGCAAGTCCAGGCCCCTCCCTCCCAGGAGAAATCCATTTGTGTAACCAAGGAGGGAGTGGACAAGCTGCGGAGAGGTGGCAGGGGTACTGGAAACCAGTGTTCAGACTGCTGCTCCTAGCACTGCAATACTCAGACTGCACCCAGGCTGGTCTTGGAGCCCCTGAAACTCTGGAGAAGTATTTTTATGGCTTATCACTTCCCTGGGTCTGGGTGCAGCTGAGCTGGGGTGAGGTGCCATGATCTCTACCCTCATTCCATGCTTCCTGGGGTGCCTTGCCCAGGAGCCAGCCCCTAAGCAAGGCAAGCTGGGGCTGCCTTCCTCCCCCAGCCCGGCAGAGGCTGGGAAGAGTGTTCAGAGAAGTCTGTTCCTTCTTTAATGGGGGTTGGAAGAGGGGGTAGGCCCTACCAGCTGCTACTAGTTTCTCATTAAACTCCTCCACAGCCTTAGCCTTAGGGACAGGATGATGGACTAGGCTGAAGGGGAGGGGGTGGCAGAGTGAATCGGACCTCAGAAGGCAGATGTGTGTGTGTGTGTGTGTGTGTGTGTGTGTGTGTGTGTGTGGCGGGGGGCAGGGGGGGGGGGGGGGCTGGAATTCAGGTGCAACTCATAGGTATGTGGTGAGACTGTGAAGTCCCGTTTGGAATCTTACGTCTCAGACGCCCCTCCCTCATTCCAGCCAGCATTAAGATGGGAGGAGATGGGGGAGGAAAGAGAGGATCAAAGGAAACACCCGCTTTGGCCTGGATTAATCCTCGCCCATCCCCGCCCCGCTCAGCGTCCCCTGTCTCCTGCCCAGGAGAGCTGCGAGGATGCCCGCCGGGCCCCAGCGTCCAAGCAGGTGCGCACGAAGCCTACACAGCGAGTGCGCAGCTGGTGGAGTTGGAGAAGAATTCCACTTCGCCCGCTACTTGTGCCGGCCCACGGCAGCGTGGAGATAGCCAACCTGCTGAACCCCTCACCGGCGCCAGATCTGGTTCCAGAACCGGCGCACATGAAGTACAAGAAGGAAGGACCAAGGCCAAGGGCATCCTGCACTTTCTCAGCGGTCAGTCCCAGGCGCAACCCGCCTCTGGTAGCACCATAAACCACGTGGCCTACTACTCGGGCCAGCCTGCCGCCGTGCCCGGCCTGGCCTGACGCGCCGCCTCTTCGCCAAATCTCAGTAACGCGGCCTGGCCGCCTGCACGGCAACCGCTCAGCGGCTTCTGCCTGCTGCTGCAGCAAAGCGCTACGCGGCAGCGGTTCAAACCCCACCCCATGGCCAGCAACGGCGGCGGCGCCAGCGCCAACCTGCAGGGGGAACGGCCGATTGTGCGTGGAGGGGCAATTTCGTCGACTCCATGCCCGTCGAGGGGCCGTGTCAACCTGAACCCACCCTCTCGCATCCGTCTTCGGCCAGCGTGGACTACAGCTACTTGCCGGGGTCCGGCAACCACCACCATGGACCGTGCGACCCTCATCCCACCTACACAGATCTCTCGGCCCACCACTCGTCTCAGGGACATGCAGGCTAAAGCTGACAGACGCATCTGTGAGCTGCATCACCGACCAGAACTTCGCTTGGCGCCAGTGCCTCTCTTGCTTTGGTGGCGGGGGTGGCGGGCGGGGCCCACGGGGCAGCTCTGTGACCCCCCCCCCCTCTGGCCCGGTTGCCGCCTCCTGGGTCTCGGGCCAACAGCGGCCGAGGCGCAGGCGACTGGGCCTCCCCTCCAGGAGCTCCCTCCTTTGGGTGACTCGCCATAAATCAGCCGCAAGGATTGTCCTCTGTAACCCTGACAGTGCCATATACTGCGGACCGAGGGACTCTAATCTGGTAATGGTGTCCCGAAGGTAAGTCTGAGATCCACCGGCGGCGCGCTCTGCAGAGGGTCCAGAGCCCGGACAGCCCCGGGCCTGGCCCGCGTCTAGCTTAGTTGCGGAGACCTTAATTTATATGCTCCTTCCCGTCCCGTAAGGATTGCATCGGACTCAACGACCGTATTTATTATTTGAAGCGAGTCATTTCGTTTCCCTGATTATTTATCCTCGTCTTAATGTATTTATGTGTATATTTGTAGAATTCTCCAGCCGAGCTTAGGAACGCGCTCCCAGGCCGCGGGGGCCACGTCTCACCTCTTTAGTCCCCTTGCTCTGAACTAGTTGAGAGAGTAGTTTTGAACAGTTGTAACCGTGGCTGGTGTTTGTAGTTGTAAAGGATTAAGACCGCAAATTGTCCTTCATGGGTATAGAGTCAGGCGGCCCCGTGGCGTGGCACGACACCCGTTACTCATTTCTCAACAGCCGCAGCCCTCACCACTCGACACAGTTTATTGATTTCAAATTGTCTGGTACTATTTGAACAAATATTTAGAATAAAAAAAATTTCTCAGTCGGAAGTGTATCTGTGTTAATCAAGCACACTTGGAAGTAGATCGCTCTGCCTTTTATCTTTTGCACAATCCCAGCAGAAGGCCCCCGAATAGGCTGACTCTTTGATATATCTATTTTTCATTTATTTGGAATCTGGTATACGAATTGGTTCTGGGGATACTTGATTACATTGCAGCTATTGACATTGGTGGGGGGTGGAAATCTGAGGATGCAAACCCAGAAATGCCCCGGGGAGCGGGGTGGGGGGGGGGATAATCTGGGTAGGGCTTTGTGCTGTGCCTGCTATGCTATTTCCACCACCTTCTTTTTAGACATAAATCAACTTTTTAAGGTTGCATTTACACTGGGGAGGCCAGCTCTCACGTTTCTGCGCTAATAAAAAATAAACTTTGAAAGAAAACTGACAATCAAAGAAAAGACAAGAGAAGTTGTAAGAAGAACGGAGCTCTGAAAAAGCTAAGGTGCACAAAAAGAAATGATCATTTGGAGACACGCACCTAAGCTTTTTCTCTAGGAAATGCTGTCAGGACTTTTTCCTTTATGATGGTTGGTGGTTCATTTCTCAAGTAAACAAACATTCCCCACGATGTAAAGTAATAAAAGTTTAATTAATGGAACACAACAAGTATAAACACCTTGTTTATTCCGGTTTCTTTGTACAACACGGGCAAAAATGTCTTCAAGGATTTATATCCACTTTGTAAATATTAGCCTGGCTTCGGCTAGGGGTGGACAATGTCCACCCGCTTCTCTAGGAGGAGACACTTGGAAAGCGCCTTCAGATAAGGTTCAAGTCTTTTGTATTTCAGCAAAGTCAGCCCACGCATCTCTATTCGGTTTGACAAATAATACAGCTCCTACTACATCCCCCCCGTGACACGAGGTGAAATTCCCATTGTGTGGAAATAATTTAACTTCTAATCTTCTGGTGGAACAACAATCGTTTCTATTTGGATGTTTGTGTTTCGCTAAATAATGATAGCTCAAATAATATCTAGTTCCCTTGTTCCTTTGTTTTTAAAATGGCATGTTAGATCGGGGGTGGTAGGGATTATCCTTTTGCAAAATTTTACTTTATCTGAGCAGGTTTAGAGTATACATGTTGTACAAGTGTATCAACAGAATAAATGACTTCAACTGAAGGGATATTTTACCCATTTGCAAGGTTTAAAATTGTTTTCTATGAAACTTGCATCCATAGGCAGAATTTCTAATTGTCTTGTAAGAAATTATTTTTTAAGCTATTAGGGAAGTCAAAGAAGAGCTTGCTGCCTTGCAGGGATTACAACAACCTTTCTTAACTGGCTAAATATTAAATAGATGAATTATCAGGCTGTTTAGATTCAGCCCGGTTTTCCCTCATCTCCTCTTCCTACCATAAATAATAATAAAAATACATAATGCATTATGGCTCCAGGCGTTTTCCAGCGCGGTGTGTTACCGCAGGAGTATCTGCTGAGTCTGCGGGTGTCTGCAAGGCCCCAAGTGTCATCTGCGGCTTAGGTCTCATGGATTAGACTTTAAACGGTGTCTAGGCCGGCTGACATCAGCTTCCTCTCACACTGATGCTCCAGAGAGGTGCGGGGTCGGGGGCTCCCTCTCCGGGCAGTTACCCGGAGGCACCCCTCTCTAACGGGGTGGGGGAGTTCGCTTGGGACAAATTGACTTTCTCTCACCTTTGGTGACAGGTTTCCTCGAGGCTTCCTAGAATGGCTTGGATTCTTTCCTGCCCTCGGCGTGTCATGTGATGGGCGCACTCCGCCGCTCCTGGCGCGGGGAGGAGGGCGCGGTGGCGAGTCTGGGGAGGCGCTTCCCGCGCGGCCGCCGGCCAGGGCGAGAGGAGGGCCTGCAGCACAGCCATTTAAAACTTCATAAATTATAAACAAGCCGCCTTGGCCTTCGCCATAAATTCTGCTCCTTTTGAGCCCGCAATTAGCGTTAGGAAGCACCGGAGTCTAAACACAACCAAACGCCCTCTGAAGGGCCCAACTGCCCAAGGTTGCAAACCTTTATTTATTTCCCAGTACCACCCCCCTCTGCACCCCGAGGTCTGCGCATACAGTCGCCTCCTCCCCCGCCAGCGGTACACTCGGTTGGGTTCCCGCTCGGCGAAGGAAGGTCACAATAGCTGCTCTATCGGCGGAGGCGCCCGCCTCCTCCCTCCCGGGCCTCGGGAAAGCAGAAAGAAGAGCGTGGGGGAGGGGAGCACCGGCTGGGCAATGGCGCTCTGGGCCCAGGCCTCTCCTTCC